CTTTCCACAGTTTGGCTATTGTGGACATTGCTGCTATAAACATCGGGGTGCACGTACCCCTTCGGATCCCTACTTTTGTATCTTTGGGGTAGATACCCAGTAGTGCAATTGCAATTCCTCTGCCCATTCTTAATTGGATTATTTATTTTTTAGATGTTGAGTTGTATAAATTCTTCATATATTTTGGATATTAACACTTTATTAGATATGTCATTTACAAATACCTTTTCCCATTTGGTAGGTTGTCTTTCAGTTTTGTTGATTGTTTCCTTTGCTGTGCAAAAAGTATTTTATTTTGATGTAGTCTCAGCAGTTTATTTTTGCTTTTACTTCCCTTGCCTTAGGACACATATCTAGGAAAATGTTGCTATGGCTGATGTCAGAGAAATAACTGCCTATGCTCTCTTCTGGGATTCTTATGGTTTCAGGTCTCACATTAGGTTTAATCCCCTTTGAGTTTATTTTGTGTATGGTGTTAGAAAGTGGTCCATTTTCATTCTTTTACATGTTGTTGTCCAGTTTTCCCAACACTGTTGGAGTCGATCTAGAAAATAGAAATTTGGGATGGATGGATGTGTAGGTAGGTAGGTAGGTAGGTGGATGATATAGATAGATAGATAGAGATCAGATAATTAGACTAACATATATATATTTATCTATCTATCATCTATCTATCTATCTATCTATCTATCTATCTATCTATCTATCTATCATCTATCTATCATCTATCTATCATCATCTATCTATCATCTATAGAGAGAGAGACAGAGAGAGAGAGATTAGATCTTTATTCATAGTCAAATGTCTTTGTTCACTGGTATAATCCTGTCTTTTTTCCATTGCATATTCTTGCCTCTTTTATCAAAGACTAATTGACCATATAGTCATGGATTTATTTCTGGGCTTTCTATTTGGTTCCTTTGATCTATGTGTCTATTTTTGTACTAGCACTATACTGTTTTGATTACTACACCTTTATAGTATATCTTAAAATCTGGGATTGTGATATCTCCAGTTTTGTTCTTCTTTTTCAAGATTGCTTTGGCTATTTGGGGTCTTTTGTGGTTACATACAAAATTTAGGATTATTTGTTCTAATTCTGTGAAAAATGCTGTTTGTATTTTGGTAAGGATTTCATTAAATCTATAGATTGCTTTGGGTAGTATGGACATTTTAACAATATTTGTTCTCCCAATCCATGAACATGGAATATTTTTCCATTTGTTTATGTCATCTTCAATGTCTTTCATCAGTGTTTTAGAGTTTCCAGAGTACAGCTCTTTTACTTCTTTGGTTAAGTTTATTCTTAGATATTATATTGGTGCAATTATTTTCTTAATTTCTCTTTCTGCTAGAATAGTGACATTTTATTTTTATTTTTTTATTTT